TGAATGTACAGCCCCCTAGGTCTTAAAGGCATATGTCTCCAATGCTGGCTGTATCCCTGAACACACAGAGATCTATGGGATGAAAGGCGTGTGCCACCACCGCCACACTCTTGCTATGGCTCTAATAGCTCTGACCCCCGGGCAACTTTATTTATTAACATACATTCAAAATCATATTTCAGTACAATTAGATTACCACCACAGTGTCTCTCTTAAGCTTCCTGGTGAATCATACTATATCTATGATTCCTCCTGGATTTGGGTGGCTAATGAAGCCTTATGTAGTCAGGGAGAATTCTAAGGTGTCTGTGTGCCATGGAGACAGTAGGATATAATTTCAGAATGATGCCATTATGACATCATTGGAACCATACTGGGAGAAGGGAGTATTGTGAAATTGATTATGGAGGACCTTGAAGATGTGGGTTGTGAAGTTGCTTTTTGTTGAAACAGAGACTGATAAATATGTGGTTACCTAAGATATGATTGTTGAATAGCATCTTGGCTAGAATCATGTTGAAGAAGGATATTAAGGTAAGTGGATCATTTTAGAACTCAGTTTGAGGGGAAGCAGAGGAGGAGTTGTTTAAGGGATGGGGGAAGTGGGGGAGGAGAATAAGAAAAGGAAAAGAATGAGGAAGAGGAAGAGGAAAAATGAGAAGGAAAAGGAGGAGGAGGAGGAGGAGGAGGAGGAGGAGAGTAAGTGTTCTCAATGACAAGATATAGGTTGTACTCATATTCCACTAGATTTGGTGCCTAACGCCTCACAAGTTAGTGAGTATAAGCATTAAACCCTTGATAGAAATGTATTCTGAAAGTCAGTAGCCAAGGAATACCACAAAGTCACACCACACAGTGCACCTCACAGAAAAGATATATTGAGACAGAAAAAAACCAAGAGGGTAGCCTCTGTTCAACAAGAAACAGGAGATAACTGATCAGAAGGCAGGGCTTAAGTAGAGTTTCTTGGGGAGAGGTTAGAGCTTTTCACATGAAGTTTTCTAGGTTGGAGATTGGTGGAAATTCATGTCCAGAGATTGGGATTTTTACTCTCTAGAGTAGGGACAGTAGTTAGGGCAGTTAAGAGTGTTCTGTTGGTGGAACCTGGCAGTTGGAGGTACTCAGGGGAGGGGTCTGGCCACTCACGTGGCTTGAGGGGCTTACATTCCCCCTTTTTTGTTTATTATTGATATAAAATCAGGTCCCAAGAAAAGGGTCATTAGACTATGTCCTGCTGAATCAGGGCATCGATGCCTTTGAGAGAACTTGATCTTCCCCATCAGGGTAGACCCAGGGGTCATTGGCCTCTGGCTCTGGAGCTAGGAGCTGGTAATCCTGTAATACCAACTGATTGAAAGTCTGGTTAGAAAGATTAATTCAACAACAGATTCAAAAGAGACTACACAAAAATCTAGACAAGAAGTTTGTAAGTCAGGGTGCAACTAGAAGAATTAAGAAAATTAATTCTTAATTCTTAAAAAAATTAAGAAATCCTAGCAAAGAGAGTTTTCAGCCACATGGTTACTTCCATCTCAATATGTATATGTGGGGGGGGCAGGTATGGTGGCAGCAAGCCACATGTTTGCTTTAAGATTACCTACACGTGGATTCTTAACTAGCAACCCTGGTGTTATGAGTTTTAAATTAACCCTTTTGTTACAGAAAATTTACACAACATTTTTAAAAATCTTGAGATAAGATTTATGCCTTAGTAAAAGTTTTAGGATTAAATAAAAATCAAAAGAGTATGAGATGAGTAGCAATAGTCCCTATTGGGGATAGTCTGTCCCTTTTTGTTTTGTTTTGCTCTCCTGCCTGATATGGGAAAGAGATTTTGGAAGAAACCTTTAAACAAGCATACTTGTTTAGAGGAGTGAGAACCATACACAAACTCCAGAGTTGGATTTTAATTCAAGTGAGGCAGCATAAAGCAACAGTGTACTGTCACTCATATAAAAAACATACTTCAACCCTGGTAATACTGAATCTGGTAAGCTGAGAACAGAGAAGTCTTGGAGGTAAGAAATTTTTGAATCAGAGCTGCAGACAGAGGATGATTCAGGAGGGAGCAGAGAGATGCACCAGCAAGTAAAGAGAGTGTGTGAAGGATATGTGCTCTGTGCACCTTGGCATTAGCCTATTGCTTTGTTTTACCCTCTCGTTAGGTCTGGTTCCTGGCTCCCAATTTGTGATAAACTAACAGATCCATCAATAGTGCCTTAAAAGACAGGACATTTACACAGTATTGGGAGAGAGACTAGACAAAAACAAACAGGGCTTGGAGCAGAGAAGAGATAGGGTATGGGGAATGTCGTTCCATTTCCATGATCACTCACAGTATTTGTAAAGGTTCCAAATATTATTAGGACATAAAGTGCCATTAGGTGTCTCCTTGGAATGATTATTGAAGAAGTTTTGAGACAAAATTTGATTGCAAAATGCATAAATTTAGTGCCCTTCAGACTGGGTGTCAGTAGGAGAAGCTGTAGGTTTTCTTAAAAGGCATCCCAAGAGGGAATGAGAAAATATTGATGACGTTTCCATGAGTGAAGGAGAAGGAAAATATTACTGGAGTCTGTAGTAGTTGGACATCCCTAGGACTCAGAGGAACAGACAAGGACCATTCAGTATGTCATCACCACACTCAATGGGGGTCAGTGGCTCATCCATTGGTAAGATTCAGCACCTGGTACCAGGGCTTTCCTAGAGGCCAGATGACAAAGAGAAAAACTCAGCTCTAGGAGGAGGGACTCATTCACAGGAAAGGGTTGGGAATGAGGTCTCAAAAGCCACAGGGTCCTAGATGAACTGTGGGATTACAAGCAGATTTGAAGGGGGATAGAAGAACAGAAAAGGGAGGGGCACAATAGCCTGGTTTGGCCTAAAGAAACTGCAGAATAGCAGCTCCAAGTGTGGGGGATGGGTCAGGAAAAGAGGGCTAGCTGTTGCCTCAAAGACCATGAGTAGGGGTACCCCCCACCTCCAAGAATACCAGAGGGGTGCTGGAGACTCAACTGCATGCTCCTTAAACTAAGGGAAATGTTTACACTGACCAAAGGAGACACTTACCTAATTGCTGCTATTGGATGGGGTGCTGAGTGATTGATGAGCCAGGATGTGACCCTGTTGCTGGTGGACTGGAGAAGAGGGATGGGGTCCAGTGCAGCTTAGGCACCCTAGGCACTAGGAGAGACTTTTGTAGGTTTCAGAACCAAATGAATGCATTACAACTCAGGAGCAAAGGTATTTTGGTAGTTGGGAGCCAAGGAGTACCACAAAGTTACACACACAACAAACCTCACACAGAGATTTATTCAGAAGGAAAACACCAGGAGGGTGGCTTCCTCTGCCTGAGTGAGAGACAACAGAGAGCTGAGCAGAAGTCAGGGTTTATATAGTTTCTTGGGGTGTGGCATAGAAATGGGACTTTTCAGGGTGAAGATTTCCAGGGTAGAGATTGGTGGGATTTCAAGTCCAGAAGTGCAGCATTTTACTCAGAAGGGTGGGGTCAAGGTACAGCTAATAAGGTAGTTAAAGTGTTCTATGGACAGAACCTGGCAGTTGGAGGCTGAGGGGAGGGGCCTGGCCACTGGTGTGGCTGGAGGGGCTTCAAGTAAGGATTTGAGTCTGTTAAGAAAGAGAGTACAGTGGTGGCAACATAGTTCCACTTAAAGTTCTGCAGCCCACAGCCTTCTGGATTCTAGCATCTGGACTTTGGGAGTCATTCATAGAAGATCATGATGATGAATAACACTGTATGAACTGGATAGCCCAGGCTACTGAATGCATCCTGACACAGCTTCTCTTTTAACTGCCATAGCATTGTTGTCCCTGGAGGCCACAACCAGGCCCCCTTTCCTCTCTGTCATTGATATTAGCAGTGTTGACCTCAGGACCAGATATTATTTGGTATGCACTCACTGAAACTCTCCTGGAAGCATTATTAGATATGTGCTGCAGAACATCTGGGCTACTAAGGTCATGAACTGTGAAAATGAATATAAAATTTTCCTCTGTGCTTGAAAACATATATCTAGCAGGGAATCTCCTCAAGCAGTCCCTTAGTTTGAGTTTTCTTGCTGTAAATATAACCATGACCACAGTGACTAAGAAAGGAAGCAAATTTGTTGGGGCTAGTTTACAGTCTCAGAGATTCAGTACATTCTCATTATAGTGGGAAGCATGGAGGCATGCAAATAGACTTGGTACTGGAGAAGGAGCCAAGAGTTCTCCATCCATATTGACAGGCAGCAGGATGAGAGAGATACACAGGGTCTGGCTGGATCATCTGAAACCCCAAAGCCCAGCCCCAATGACACACTTCTTCCAACAAGAACATGCCTCCTCCCACTACCACTACTTATGAGACTATGATGTCCATTTTTATTCAAACTATCACAAGCAGGAAGCTAAATGACTCAATATAACTTCAGGGAGTCCCTCATACTAATATGGTTCACAAGATCCCCTTCTTCCAGGTAAACAATAAAAGCTATGAGTCTTTCTCAGACAAGCCCATCTTTAAAGGAGAACTCTGAGATAAGACAAGCTGCTTGGAAGAATCACAAACAGCAGAACTGAATAGATGAGGATTAAACCAGCCGATTCACTCAGAACAGACACTCTCTAAACCATTGAGTTGTCTGAAGGCTGTGAAGTGTACTCCAGATTTCTAGCTCTTGTGAGTTGTCTCACAGGCTTAGGTGGACTCCTATGATAAATGTGATTTTGAATCATTTCTGTTCTTCTAAATAACCCCTCATGCATATTCTTGTAAGTAACCACAATAAACCTCAAAATTCACCAAGGTAGACTACAGTGATATCCATACTTTGGTCTGTTCTGGGATCCCTATCTGGGGTTAGCAGTCATGTGTGATGCATGTAGCCAGGAAACGTTTTGTCATATAACAGCAGCCGCTTTGCTAGGCCAGCATAGTGCCTTACTATGTCCTATGCTTAGAACCACACATAAATGTAGCTCATATCCCTCACCAAAAAGCTTCTTTTTAGATGAAATGAGACCACCATACACAAAAAAACTATAACAAAAAACCCAAATTGGACACAAAATGTGGAGATCAACAGATTGTGGGGAGCCCAGCTAGAGTGTATGCATCTACATCACAGGTCCTGCATCTGTGGCTCTGGGAACATCACAGAAGAGGGGCAGAGAGACTCTAAGTTCCAGATGACAGAACATCTGCTGTGATGCTGGCCTGTTTGAACCACTTTGGAACATTTGAAAATATGTGACATGTTTCAAAATCAAATAATGAGATAGGATTCTATGTATTAGTCTTGAAATTATAAACAAGTTAGCAGAACTAGATATTTGTTAATTCACCCCTAAGCTCTGTCTTCCATAAGTCATGTTCTTGATATACTTCATCCACTGAATATATAGAGAAATTTATTGTGTACAGTACTATAAATACAATTGCATATAATAGGGATGTTACAATATCATTTAATATGTTTTACACTGTGTAACATATGTATTACAATTTTCTTTTTTTTTTTTTTTTGGTTTTTTTTTTTCGAGACAGGGTTTCTCTTTGTAGCTTTGCGCCTTTCCTGGAACTCACTTGGTAGCCCAGGCTGGCCTCGAACTCACAGAGATCCGCCTGCCTCTGCCTCCCGAGTGCTGGGATTAAAGGCGTGCGCCACCACCGCCCGGCAATGTATTACAATTTTCAATGGACAGGAATTTGCTCTCATTGATTCCCGGGCCTGTGGTGTGACAGTACATGATGAGGGAAGAGAAAACCTATGCACCCCATGCGTTATAGGAAACAAAGAGAAGAGAGAGGGAGTGGCCGTGTTCCTAATGTCCTCTTCAAATATACATCCTAAATGACCCATCTAGTACTAAACTACTAGACTGTACTTGTGAACTTTCCACTATCTCCAAATAGCAATTCAGGCTGGTTACCAACCCTGCACATAGGGATTTGAATCATTTAAAAAATAATACAAGCTGAGTCCTAGAGTTCTTGCTGAGTGTGCACAAGATCCTAGCAGCAATTTCTAATACTTCAAAATGAAATGAGGAAAAGTCTGGCATTTCCTTGGTTGCAAAAGACAGTAACCAATGCTGAAGGATATGTGCAAGGAAAATTAAGAGATCAAGGACATCTGGATCTACACCTGTTCCTTTTGATTCTGAAAGCCTGGGACAGACATAAGGCTATCATTGGCTGCTATGTATGGTGAAAAAGATGAAGGGACTTGGATAAAAACTGCAGAGTAGTAGCCAAATATCTACTTTAATTGCAATGAAAAATAGGGAATATTACAACTAAGAACCAGGAAAAATTCAGATTTCAATATGAAATTTGTGACCAACTTTGTAGTGAGAGGAAATAGTTGGACCCAAACTTAAAAAAGAGCTTCAAAAATAGGCAATATACTCTCAAAAATAGACTTTTATTTTTCGTTTCATTTTCTTCCTTCTTTCTTTTATCATTTTTTGACAGAGTCTCATGTAGTCCAGGTTGACCTAAGTTTGATATATAGCAACGGATGACCCTGGATATCTTGCCTCTATCTTCTGACTGCTCTAGGACTACAAGAATGTGCCACCACATCCGTTTATGAGGTGTGAGAATTCAAATGCAGAGCTTCCTGTATGCTAAGGTAGCAGTCTCCCAACTGAGCCACATCTCCAGACTAAGCAGCAGACATTTTAAACATAAAGAAAAGTGATGGAGGATAAAAGACAAAAGTTGTCACAGCAAGAAAATAAGTCAAGGAAAAGACAGCCCTCACGACAGGACAATTGCTGGGATAAGGGATCAACCATCATTTTATCTTGTATTGATTTTCACTGTGGATGTTCATTGACACAATAGGGATTTTCATACAACAATATATTTCAGTGAGCATATTTCCCTCATGCTCTTCAGATTCCATTTTCTTGTTCATTCTGTTTGTCCCCTTTGTTCCCCTTGACAGGTTTTCTCATGTCTTTTATTCAGTGTATTTGCGTCCATAAATTTGTGTAATTATATAAGATCTATGATTCATAAACAAGAGAATTTGCATAACTACATTTGATTTTTGTTCATTTTTCTTTTCTTTATTACTCTTCCCTTCTTATTTATTTATTTATTTGTTTGTTTGTTTATTTGTTGGGGTGGGAACAAGGTTTCATTTCATAGTACTGGCTGTCCAGGGACTCACTTCATAGACCAAACTGATCCAGAACTCACAAATCTGCCTGCCTTGCCTCCTTAGTACTTGGAATGAAGTGTGAGACACCATAACAGGCTGGAAACTCTTTTGAATGATTATATTCACTTGGTATAATTCTCTGTTTTTTTAATGACTGGCTTCATTCCCATAATATAATTATCTCTTTGTATACACTTTCCTAAAAGCAACTTAACTCTCTCTAAGCCATTGATAGAAGGGAAATTTTATTACATATGTATATATCTGTCTGTATATACACATATATTTATATTTATATATTTATATAATGGCTACATAAAAATAATTTGGAAATGTTTCTCCTTAGGCATGGAAAAATTACTAGTGCTAGAAAACTGAGCCAACTACTCAGAACTAGTAAAGTCATGGATCTTAGAGAAGAACCTGTTACTGTCACTTTGCTAGACCAGCAGGATACCTAATGATGTTGTAAATATTTATTCTTAAACCACAGTTAAGTAAATGAAGTTAACTAGTTTCATGCCCTGCTAAGGAAATGTGGCTTGGAACAGATGGCAACCATTACAGAGAACTATAGCAGACCAAATTGCTGAGAACAAGTGACCTTGTGATGTACAGCCCATTTGATACATCTAAACACAATTACACTAAAGGCTCAAGTATCATAGTGAAACAGAGGTTGAATAGATTGCAAGGAACAGGAAGTTTTCTGTGAGAGTGCGTCTCCTACAAATGTCAGAGAAGCTAAACTCATAAAGTCTCATCAATGTGGCTTCCTAAACAAGACTTGAACAATGATGATATTGATAGACATGCTAACATGGAAGGGCTGAATCTCCTGAGACCTTACCCATAGACAGAGAACTTTAGACAACTTAGGAATGCTGGGATTGGGAGAAATAGTCTCACCCAGGGAAGAACCTCCCACTTGGTCATCAAATACCAAATAATCAGCACTGAAATTTTATATATACAAGTAACACTATAAACTAAGCAGGTTGTATTTACATAAGGAGAATATTTATGATTGTGTATGTGAGTGTGCATTCCGGTAAGTGACTATATTTAAAGAAATAAGTCATAAATTTGAAAGGCATTATAGGGAAGTGTTGGAGGTAGGAATAAGAAGGGAAAATGATGTAACTATATTTAAATTTCAAAAGTAAAGAAAATTTCTTAGAATTTAAGAAAAGGTTGTTTTACAAGATCAACATTTTTCATTATCTCAATATTTTCATGCCATTTTAATTTTTTTTATTAAGAAATTCTCCACTCACTCCACATACCAACCACAGATTCCACCTCCTCCCTCCTCCCACCCCCCAGACCTCCCTCCCAAGTCACCCCCCAACCCCACATTTTCCAAATCAAGGTCTCCCATGGGGAGTCAGCAGAGCTCGGCATACTCAGCTGAGGGCGGTCCAAGTCCTTCCCCATTGCACGGAGGCTGTGCAAGGTGTCACACCTTAGGCACTGGTTCATGCCATTGTTTAAAAAATTATTTTTTATTATATTTTACTAAGTGTTCTAATGATCACCAGTGCTAATTGTGACATCATGTTTTCCCTTTTACTCCCACATCTTTAGGTATTGTCCTCAGATTTGAGTCTCTATGTAACTCTTCCAAGTACTCTAAAATGTTGCAGGTCAGGTGTTGAAAATTAGAAATACATTGAGGACAACCAAGAACAACGTCAATAGCCTGTAATATGTAGGGGGTCTGTGGTCCCTAGATTGATAGACCCTGTTGATAAAGACACAATATATTGAGTCACAGTACAAGGAGAAATCAAGGTGGAAATTCCATCTATAGTAGATGGTTTTCACACTGCTAAGGTAATAAAATAATTATGGAAATATGACCATGAGAACAATACCAACAACAAGTCTGGTGCAATACTGTCATTAGCATCACGGGTGTAATAAACTGATTCTTGACTGAATTGAAGGCCCAGTTCACAAGGTGATACCCCTGCTTGAACCCATCATTATGCACAAACATATGAGTCTAGAAAGTATAGAGATCCTGGGGAATAACATAATACTAATAATCAGCTAAGATGACATAGTAATAAAATGTTCCCTAAGCTCTTTTTTGTGGTGATATATTGTGTACCCCAATAAAGCTTACCTGGGGATCAGAGGACAGAGCCAGCCACCAGGTTAGACACAGAGGTCAGGCAGTGGTGACACACACCCTTAATCCTATCACTTAGGAGGCAGAGATGCTTCTGGATCTCTGTGAGTTCAAGGCACACTGGAAACAAAGCCAGGCAGTGGTTACACAAACCTTTAATCCCAGTACTGGGAAACACACACACTTTTAATCCCAGGAAGTGATGTCTGGGCAGAGAAAGGTCTATAAGGCATGAAGAAACAGGAACTCACTCTCTTGAGACTGAGGATTTCATAGAGGTAAGCTAATGGCTAGCTGTTCTGCTTTTCTGATCTTTCAGTTTTCACCTCAATATCTGGCTCTGTTTTTTTTTTTTTACTGTAAGACCTTTAAAGATTCGTGTTACAAATATTTTTATTCTGGGAGTGGGTAGATCTATCCCTCAACTCTCATTAGAGAAGCTTTGTTTTGCACTCTATGGTGATTAACAGAGAATCCCACCATCATTCAAGGTGCTGAGAATGAGAGTCTCTGGGGGTCCTTCTATAAATGGGACATCTATATGACAGCTCTTCCTCCCAAGATTAGGAGATCATAATGGAAGAAGAGGCAGAAGGAATATAAGAATAAGAGGTGGTAGAATATTCCAAGGAAATAGGTTTTGTCCAGACTAAACAGGGCACTTGCACATGTGAATTCACTCTCCAGAACAGTACACACAAAACCTACAAAATATTTGAAGACAAAATCCAAGCAGAGTGGATGTGGCAGGAAGTCCAACTCCTAGCTGAAGAACTGATGGGAATTTCAGACTTCTTTAAGGATTCAGTCTTTTAGAGAGAGAGGCAAACCTTGCTTTCATATATGCCCCTGCCTTAGGTACATATAAGCATCACTAAGTATTCTCTGCTTTCCTTCCTTTCTCCTTCCCTTCCTTTCTCCCTTTATTTCTTCTTTTCTTAATGAAGCACATGAAATTTGGAGAGAATACTGATGTGAAACAAGAAAGGAATTGGAAAGGAGATAATAGTGGATAGACTTGAGTTAATGGCCAAGCAGTTTAATTAATATTAGCCTCTGTGTGTTTACTTGGGGGATGGTAGTGGGAGAGATTTGTCCTGACTGTCAGCAGGCCAGAACACAGAAAACTTCAGCTACAATCTTTGTTAATGAGCAACTGGAAAAAGTTTCATGAATTATTTTGTCTCCCAAAGCCACACTGTCATTGTCACTGCAGATGAAATGAAAATTGCAGTTCTGAAGGAAGGTGAGGTCACAGAGTCACTAGTTCTATCTCAGGTCTGAGCTGACTCTTACACAGCACTACTTATTAATAAGTCTAGATCTGCCCAATGAACTCATCTTCCTTCTGAGGCAAGAAGCCAGGTGAGTACTTCATGTTTCAGTCTGAGCCACAGAACCAGCAAAGAAGAGAGGCCTGTGTAATTGTTCATGTTTAGTAATGGAAATCTGATGTAGAAACCGATACCTGAAACTGAGACCGAAGGCACAAGAATAATTCCATAGCCAAGAAGTGAGTGAGAAAGGCAGAAGTGTTTTTAAAGTTATACCAGTCCCTGTTGGTTATGACTATAAATGCCCATCTTAGAGTGACTGTGGCTTACACCAGGTTAATGCAGTCTGTCTGTGAAGGTGTTGAAGTATTGTGTTAAAAAGTCAATGTGATAATTCACTTTACGTTACATGATGTGTAGATAATTTTTACAGTATGACTGTTATAGTTGAACTTACCATAGTTTTATGCCCATAGTAAACATTTGAAAAGAAATATAAGAAGCACATGACCCTGGGAGATACTGATGTAAATCCTTTTCTGGGGTATACGGTATTCTCATGCAACACTGTTTATGAGTCTGTATTGAATGACCAGTGGTAAAACGGGTGGCTTGAAACCGCTCTCATTTACTTGGGTTTGAGTTATCCCTGTTGCTTGAATCATACACCAATGATAAGCACAAACTGATGTCATGCCTTCCCTTAACTCTTTTCTATTGCTGCTAAAGGAACACACTGGTTTTATGTATGCAAGGGCAAGGCTCTACCCCTTGGCCAAATTTATTTCCACATTTAGTTCTTTGTTTTAGTTTGGAAAATGGTGAACTTTTCACATTCTTCAGGTTCCTTTTTATGTATCTAAGATGTTTTTCTGCTATCTGAGAGTATTATAAATATTGTAAGAGATTCATCAATATAAAAAATAAGTATATGCTGAATTTTAAATGAAATGTTTTACTTAGATAACTTTCTTCTTATGGTATTTCAGCACTCATTAGTGTTTTATCTTGCATATTTTACAGAGTAATGGGGTTAGTAATTCCTCCATAGTTACCATTATATCCTTTATCCCTGAAGTGAAAATAAAGAATATCTTCAGTGTAGTAAGCAACATCAGGCTCATCTTATGCTTGCAAATTCAAACTGGAAGACGGGACAGTTTTCGGTCATGACAGACCACAATTAGAGAGCACTGCATTTTGATAAAACCTAAAAAGCCTTGTTTGCACTTGGCATTTGCCAATAAAAAGAAATGTTTATTCAAAAAGGAAAACTTATTTTTTAAAAAGATTCCTTTATCTTTTTAATTCGTTTTCTGTGCCTGAAAGTTTTGCCTGCATGGACAAATGTGCACTATGAGAATGCCATGCCTGCTGAGAACAGAACCGGTGTCAGAACCTCCTGGAACTAGAGTTACAGGCAGTTATGAACCACCATGTGGCCACTGGGAACCAATCTACCTCCTCTCCAACAGCAACACGTGTTCCTTACCACTGAGCCTTCTCTTTAGTCGCCTCGAATGAAAACTTTTTTACAACCAAAAGAAGATGGTCATGCATGATTGAGGGAGCTGGATATAAGACAGGCAGCTTTTGTTGTGCAGTTTCCTGAGTGGAATAGGTCTATTCACCACTGAGTTAAGAGACAAATCGAATCACTTTGATCTGGACATTGGTATTGGTCTTTGGGTCTTTTTTGATCAGGAACATGAAATGATCTGGTAAGAAAGACTGTAGGACTGGAATGATACATCTTGCTATGCATACAATAAAAATAAATATTTATTGTAGTTATATTTTCCATTATACATTTAACTCATATCAAAATAAAACAAAGTTCATATTTAAAAGTGAGAATGGTATTTTAGTGGATGTGACCAAAAGGAACACATAGTACCTTCTTGGTCAGAATTCTTTGGCTGTGAAGACAAACGCCTATTTCCAAATTGAACAGAGTGACCTCACAGATCTGAGCACAGGAATGGTCTTGCACAGTGGTGGATGCTGGTCACTATTTTTTTCTTTATCATTACTTCTTCCTCACTAGACTGGATGTAGTTACATAACCAAATATTCAAATTTCAGGCACACCCTACAGATACATCTTAGTCATTGTCATTCAGTGAGTTTCAAAGGCCACAAAAACTCTTAGGATCAATCATCTTGTCAATAATTGTAATTTTTTCCATCCTCCCAGATGTGGCAGTGTAGGTCCACTGGCATCATCTTCCTGAGAAACTTCATGGCCTCTGGGTAAGTACAACAGAGAGGCAGAGTTTAAAATCCTCCAGGGAGATTGACTTTTCATGTGAGCCTGTTGGACAGTGGGTATCCTAAATGATGTCCTATATCCTACAGGTATGATCAATAGTTAGAGCAGTAAAATCACAATTGAAGAACATGTTTGTGGTATTGTTCTAACGTGTTAGTGAAATCGCATCCTAGTCAGCATCAGAGTTGGCAAATATAAAATGTTTTTGGCATCAAAATCTTAAACTGTGATTCCATGAGGATTGTATACAGACACCAGCTGCCATTTAACCAACAACCTAAGTCCAAACAATTCCTACCTCCCTCCCTCTCTCCTTTCCTTCCTTCCTTCTTTCCTTCCCCCTTTGTCTTTCTCTGTCTCTCTGTCTCTCTCTTTCTCTTTCTTCCATATGACATAGTTTTTCAACAAAGAAACAAAACATCAACATACATTTCATGTGGATTTTACAAGTGAAGCACATCTTGCAACACAATAGGTAGAACAGAAACAATACTGTAAGAATATCAAAAGTTCCCTTTAATGAGCTAACCAAAACTAGACCTCTGTTGCACTGCTGAAGTGATCAGATAGCTTTCTGAACATTTCAGAGGTTAGAGCATATTTTACTTGTGTGGGGCTTTTATAAATGAAGTCCTATATCAGTAAATATTGTATATTTTGAAGATCTTTTTAGTCCACACGATTTTGTGTATTTATATTGTCTTCCTCAGTGCTGAGATTTGGAATTATCTTTGCAGAAATTTTATAAACTTGTTTATTTATTTAAAAAAAGCATGACAGTAATAGAGAAGTCTCATTTTGAGAAATGAGGAGTGGCATTATGCTCATTAGTAAAATGAGTGTGATTCAGATCTTCAGTGCCCATTGTTGTTGTTGGTGATGTTTGTGATGGCCTGTCAACCATAAAACATTGTATTCATCTCTGTCTTATGATTTTGAATGTGTTGACTTAGCTATTTTTGCTTGCACTCAGGTTCATGTTTTCCTATCTCCAAAGACAACTTTTTTCTTCATTTGGTTTTCTTGTAAGCTTTCTTTACTTCCATCATTAGAATTTGAAAAAATTTACAAAAATTTTCCTCCAATTTCTGGTCAATTTTAGCATCATACCATTCCTGATCCCTGTGGGTCACTGGAGTAAAGACAGCTTCTTCATCACTCTTGGTTCCATTCCTCCATCTTCTCAATAGTAACTGCAGAATCTAGAGAATTCTGGAATTTGTTTCTTCCTTTTCCTCTTCTGGTAAACCTCCTTTTTTTGTAAGAGACTCACTAGGTCCTCATTTGTCTCTCTCCTGAATGCCTCAATTGCCTGCTTCTCTTGATTTCCTGAGCAGTTTCTCAATCTCTTACTTCAAGATCTTTGTAGCACTTCTGGCACGGAGTTTGGGTTTTTAGAGCTTCTTCTTGCAGTTGCTTACTCAACTGCAGATGATTCTGGTTCAAATAGTCCTGCTGAAGGTCTGATGCCAAATGCTGCTCAACATCTTATTCCTGTAGAATGTAAGCCATGGTGTGGTCCTCCAGCACAGCACTTTGTTCACACTGTGAACTCATCAATACATGGTGAGTCATAGTGGCTGCTGGGCCTCTGTCACATGTTAGCTAATGTGCACATCTATCATGCTAGCTAGAAATAGCTATCTATATTCACCAAGCAGTGATGACAGGGAATCTCCCAAGCCTAGAATTAGTATGTACAATTTTATTGTGCACATATGAATTGATAAATCATGGCCTGTCACAGGGTATGTGATGCAGGTTTGCATGTCAAAGATTCCATGATTGTTACTGGATGATATAAAAAGTTAATTCCTTGTTTAGTTATTCTTCAAAGTGGGATTAATGGGGCCCAGGAGATTTCTCCCTTCATTGTTAGCGTTCTGTTGGTGTCATATTTAGGCCTTGTTTAGGCTGCCATGGAGAATCTTAAAGGCTGTAGCTTCTCTGACATTCCTAGGAGATGCAATTTCACAACCAATATCTGTTCTTCTGACTCTTACAGTCTTCCTCCTTCTTCTGTGACAACATACCCTGAGTTTTGAGGACAACATTGTACTTTAGTTGGGTCAGTTCAGGCTTGCTACCACAAAACCACTTGTTCTTGAATTTTGATCAGTTGTAGCTTTTTGTAACAGTCTCCTCTTTTTGTAAAAGATTTTTCTTCTCTGATGCATAATAACTACAGGTAATGAAGGATTGCTGAGAGCAGGAGAGAAAGTCTTCCCCAGAGAAAACCTGCAAATCCAGTGGGAATTGTTGAACATCAAAATCATGTAATATGAGTAACATTATGCAGATTGAGAAGAGTATATGTATATGTATATATATGTATATATATACATATATATGTTTGTGTATATGTCTGTATCTTTACATGTGTATATACATATTTATGTGTATAGGCATATATAAATATAGACAGACACACACATATGTATGTTACAACAACTAAAGAAAATAGGCCAATTTCAAATAATTTGAGAGGGAGTGTGTGTGTGTAGGTACTTGGAAATGTTTTGGGCAAGAAAGGGACAACGATGTAATTATATTTTAATTTTAAAAATAGTGATGGAACAGGAGCTTATAAACAGCTTACCTTTGGTAGCACATATAAAATTGTAATTATATGATGTACTTATTCTCAGAATAAATGAATACTGAATAGAATGTTGGAAAATAAAAAAAAGTGGTTACTGGCATGTAGAGTTTCTGTTTTCAGCATTTGCTACCTTCACTTTGTATGACTTTTTATTTGTTTGTTTGTTATTTTATTTTCTCATTTTTATAGTAACAGGTTTTATGGCATTTTTATACTTAGTGTTTTGATTGTCACAAACCCTCTGCTTCCCCCATTCCTCTGGCTTCATTCTAGCTAACACTATCATCCTTTCCCTCACGATACAATATTTTGTCATTATTCATTATTCATTATTCATTATTCATTATTCATCATATTCTAAAGAAAATTGTGCCAAATCATATAATGGACTTCTGGAGTTTGGCAATAAGAGTAATTATCTTTTCACAAGTATAACAAGAGTTCTGGAAATTTCCCTTGTTTTCTACTATCTAATCACTTAATATAAAGAATTCTCATAAAGTCCACAGGTTTGATTCTAATGCAGCTAATGGATGCCAACATCTTAATCATTCTCTCTTCAGGAGTGACCCACAAAAATGTAGTGTTGGGGTTGAAAGAGTTCTTAAATGATTCTATATAAAGTCTCCTTTTGTACACTCAAAGATTTGCAAGGAGTTTGTCCTTTGGCACCATCTGCCTCTTGAATGTCTTCTAGGCCATGATCAGCAGTCCTAGGGACTGTAGGAAGAATCATAAAGTCAAGCCTGCAACATATGTTGGCTGCTCCATTTACCTCCTCTAGGTCTTATAGATACTGATAAATTTCATATTACTTGCGCAACCTTTTATCCTAAACAATAGAAGGAAAGTGACAAGAAAGTCAGATTTGGGATGCTATTGCAAGATAAGGAGTTATGAAATTAAGGACTCACTCTATACAGACATTCCATTCTAGGGAGCAGGGACTAAGTGCAAAGGGTGAACTTATAGGTACCCTCTATTGTATTTATTGCCTTGTCAAGCAGCTCTATTAGACACTCACCAGTGAACTTGTGTATTTTAAAACAGCTATTAATTGCAAAACATTGAAAAAAAAACTAACATCTATTAATGACAATATAAAGTTTGACTTATACCACAATGTGCCAATTATTGTGCAATTAATTATCTGCAATTCAAACAATAGGAATTCATTGAGATCTATCGAACTTTTTACTTGAAAGACACATTTTAACATTATAAATGTAAAGTGATAGTGTATATTCAGTATATCATGAGACAAGCTAGGAAGAGCATGATCCAACTTGTATAACACATGTCCTCTTGATTTGTTGTGCAGTGACCCAGGACCTTTACAGAATGGACACCAGAGACCTGGCTTTGGGGATCTTCTTCCTGTCCCAGACTGTGCTGGGATTGTTGGGCAACTCAATCTTAATTTATTGTTTTATCATTGCTGACTTCTCTGGAATCAAGGTGAAGCCCACACACCTGATTGTCAAACACCTGACCTGGGCCAACTTCATTGTTCTCTGCAGAGGAATCCCACAGACCATTGCTGCTTTTAGTCAGACTTACTATCTAGATTATGTTTCATGTAAACTTGCCTTGTATTTTCATAGAGTTGCCAGAGGAGTATCCCTTGGCTCCACATCCCTGCTGAGTGTGTTTCAGTCCATCACCATTAGCCCCAGTAATTCTAAGTGGGCACAGCTCAAGGTCAGAGCCCCCAGGATCATTGGTCCTTCCCTGGGTCTGTGCTGGGCCCTCCAGCTGTTGGTATATGTCTTCATTCCTGTATACACAACTGGCATAAAGCATGGGAGAAATGTTACTGGGATAAAAGATTTTGGATACTGTGTTATTATTAGTCGTGGAAGACTAATGAGTACATTTATTGCAATCCTACTGGCATCCAATGATGCCATCTTTTCGGGACTGATGATGTGGGCCAGTGGCTACATGGTGTTTACCTTGCTCAAACACAAGCAGAAGGTCTCACACACCCACAAATCCCTGTCTCCTAGGTCATCCCCTGAGACCAGAGCAACCCAAAGAATTCTCACCCTAGTGAGCAGCTTCCTGCTCTTCTATGTTACCTCTGTTGTCCTAACATCTTATCTGTCTCTCTTTGAAGGAACTACTAAGTGGCTGTCCAATGCCCATGTGGCCATGACTGCATGCTTCCCAGCACTCTGCCCCTTTCTGCTCATCAACCACTACACCTCATTTTTCAGGCTCTGCTGTACATGTTGTTCATGTCAGACAACACGCTGTACTTGTGTAGTCAGAGAGCACTAAAAGCTGAGGTGTCTGCTTTTTTCTTTCCATGTCTTCTACGAAGTTCTGTTCAGTGAACTCACTGTCAATACAACACTTCAGTGTAGATTAAGAATATCTACAGTTTTTTTCCTGATACAGTTTGTATTAGGGATAAGAACTCATTGTTTGCATGAAGAGTATTTACAGCAACAGAGACAATTAAGTTGGGTGGCAATGTGGATTATAGAGATCTAGGGGAGCTTCTACGAAGATGGGATTTTTAATGAATATTTTCTTTTGTCATTCAGTTCAAAAGTTAACCAATGTAGGTCTGTACCTAGATCTGCATCCTAAATTGCAGAATCATGTATTATTGGCTGTCAGCAATAGAGAACAAATGAAACATCTGAGCAAGTCCAGAATGGCCTGGGGATGATAATGAAGATATGCACGTGCTGAGCACTGAAGGGAATGTAGACTCAGTTGACAATGTGTATCTTAAATCTGAAGTATAATTCAAAATGCCGAGAAGTTTACAAATGTGATATAAATGCATTTATAAAACTCGGGTTTACATTAACATTCAAATGCAAATGTTCAGAGTTGAAATTTAGTAACTGCATACAAATTTATTGTCCCTGTTCTTAAGTGGAACAAGTGGGTAAATTTGGGATTTGTGTCCAGTTTAGGTGATATAGTAAAATTCTGTCACCCTCAAAACAAAGTTGAAATGTTCTGGAGTCTGATCTGCAGAAAATCAGGATATATAATTTAAAGAGAACAGTTAAGCCAAATGTTTTGCTATAAAGTCTCTCTAGTGGAGTAACTTCAAATGTTTTCCTTTAATTTGTTGCTAGTTTCTGTCCATTATTTTCCAAAACTAACTGAATTAAAACGCTGACCTACTCTGAAGAGAATTCAACCAGCCCATGGCAAGAGGGGACGGAATGAAACATTGGTGTTTCCTGGTTCTCCTGGATACTAGCACATTCCATGAAATTTTGCTTTCAGCCTCAATCAAATGATAAGGCTCCTTAATTGACCTTTTGGTCTCATTCCTTTCCAGCAGTACATAACTGTCACTGTGAAAATTTAACTCATCAACCCATAACTCCTTTTTAATCTAAATTTATAGTTGACTTCATATATGTCCCAGGTTTGTATGAGAAGTGAAACATGATTGTCAGCTTTTGGTTTTGAAAAGTGGGTTCATTGAGTACACAGACAGAAGCAGTGAAGGAACAAAACAGCAAATAACTAGAAGGCAGTGAAGTTTCGTATCAGACAGGAGCTCACAGGGTCCCACAAACACTGAGCACGACAGTCCATGAAACATAACAATCAGTAGGAGGTACATGATGGTGGGGGAGGAGAACATCAAGGAGAGAAGGGAGGAGAAACTCCTCTTAGGATGTAATGTATGAGAGAAAAAAGTTTCAAAATATTTTTTTTGATAAAAGAAAGCCTAAGATATATACTGAGGGAAAACATCTTCAACAAATGGTGTTGAACTAACTGGATGTCTGCATGTCAAAAACACCCTGCACAAAACTCAAGCCTAAGTGGATCAAAGGCATCAACATAAAATCAGACACTGAACCTGACAGGAGAGAAAGTAGGGAACATCTTTAAAATATCACAGTTGGAGACAATTTTCTAAACAGAACACAGATTATTGTGGAATTAACAAGTGGGACCTCATGAATTTAAAAAGCATCTATAAGGCAAAGGACACTGTTAATAGGATGAAATGGCAGTCCATGGAATGGAGAAATATTTTCATCAAATTCATATCTGGTAGAGGGCTAATGTCCAAATTATTTAAAGAACTCTAGAAACTAGACATCAACAATCCAAATAATGAAACTAAAAATGGTCGATATATAAACAGAATTCTAAATATAGGGATCTCACAGACTGAGAAACAAATAAATGTTCAATGTCCTTAGCCATTAAGGAAATAAAAATCATAACTACTATAAGATTCTATCTCACACCTGTCAGAATGGCTAAGATCAATAACACATTTGATAGCTCATACTGGTAAGATATGGACCAAGGGAAACATTCCTTTATTGCTGTTAGGAGTGTGAACTTGTGCAGCCATTATGGAAATCAATATGCCAGTTCCTCAAAATATTGGCAATCAACTTACCTAAAGAACCAGCAATACCACTCTTGCACATATCCCCAAAAGAAACCTCATCCAAAAACAAAGACATTTGCTCTACTATGTTAATAGTGACTTTATTCTTAATAGCCAGAAAGTGAAAACAACCTAGATGTCCCTCAACAGAAGAATAGATAAAGAAAATGTGGTATATTTAAACAACGCAGTATCACAGAGCTGTTAGACAAAATGACATAATGAAGTTTGTAAACAGATGGGTGGACATAAAACAAAAAAACCATCCTGAGTAAGGCAACCCAGACCCAGAAATACACACTATGTTCTCATTTATAAGTAGATATTAGTTGTTAAGTAATGTGTAATCACACGACAATTCACAGATCCAGAGATGTTAGAATAAGAGGAGATGTTTAAGGGGGAATACATGGATCTCCATTGGAAGAGGAAATAGAATAGATTTTGTGGGTGGACTGTATGCACATAGAGGAAGGGAACAGGAGAGATCAGATGGGCGAAGGAGGGACAGAGTGGAGAGTGTGGAAAGAGATAACTAAAATAGGTGGCAATATAGAAACATAGTGCAGTACAAACTTACTGTAACCGATGAGCATTACCCTAGCAAGGAATCCTTGTAATGGAACATATGGAGCCTGAACCAGCCATCATCTGTTACCAGGTTAGGATCACAGTGTTGGGACTGGGACACCAATCCAGCCACAAAACCTACTACTACCTGTCTTGTCCACAAGACGCACTGGGACAATGATGGCTCAGAACTTATGAAAAAGGCCAACTAATGACTAGTCTACTTTGAGGGCCAAGCTATGAGAGGAAAGTCTACAGAGGCTAAGACCTCTTAAAGGAGATGCTATCCCAGATACGGCATTGAAATGAATTTAGATTCCCAATGACAGTATCAGTAAATCATCATGAAAAGGTAAATGAATATAAAGAAGAAAGACTTCATTATAGAAACCCTCTCTGTATATTTGGAGATGGTAAAATACAGGAAGAAATATCAATGTAATCTGTAGAGACCTGTTCCCCAGTTAAAAAAAGGGTTCAGAGAAAAAATCCACAAAGAAGCAAAATGGGACTTAGACCTTTCTATCAGAGGGGTAGGGGCTAAATCTACACATGAACTATTTGGGTCATGACCTTTATTATTCTCCTTGTTTCCACTTTCCATTGTATATACATACACATACAAATGCAAATTTCCACAGTAGAAAGGTTTTACAAGGCTGTTTCTCAGGATCACATAGCATTCTTGTAGATACACTGAGTCACAGGTAGCAATTGCCTATCAGCTTTAATTCCTGGAGGGCAGGAGCTGTGGTTGTAAAAGTAACCTTGTCTCTTAAAGGGGCAGCTACAAGAGTCACAAAGGAGAAAGACTAAACTCCTGGGGAGGGGTAAAGAAGTCATGCACTGTCCTAACCTATATTTCTAAGGTGAAGGTAACACTTTAGGGTAGCATTAGTGAACAGAATAAAGCAAAATGACTGTATATATTTTTTTTCTGGCTCAGAAAATCATGGCTGCAGCTGAAAGCAGCTTGCAAAAGTCAGTGGACAGAGTGAATTGTCTTTGAGTAACCAAGTCAACCTGTGTAAACCAAGGGGAAAACAAACAGTGCAGATTCACATCAGCACATTTGCCAGAAGGCTGGCTGGCTGGCAGGAAAAGTGTTTCAGTTCTAAAAATACCCTTGCTATATATACTGTGCATTGTCTCACAACACAAAATGAAGCCCTTGTAGTTTTTTGTTCAAGGCCTGGGCTGGGTGTCTCCATGCTGTTCCAGCCATCTGTGGAGTCCTCTCCCATGGTAACTGGTGAGAAAGATATTTCTCTGTAGACATGGTTAGTTGGTTAATAGCTTTTTCCTATTAGTTACACAAATCTCAGGACTTACACATAAACAGTTTATTGATCTTAAAATCTTGCATCATAAACTGGGGTGGAAGTATGTACAAAGTGTGGATAGCTTTGGGGGGGCAAAGCAGGGAAGCCCTGAAGGTCTGTTATCAGTTGGCAGGGTGAACTCACAGCAATTCATTTCTCTTTAATCTCTGAAGGGCTTTGATTCAACAAAGCCAGGCACTTTACAATTGCACGTTTGAGTATAATCTATGAAAGTCCTGCTTGGGATCTATCTACAAAGACACCTTGGCCAAATTTCCTTGCCAATAAGTCATGTATAGGGAACAGACCTGTAAGTTTCTCACCATAATGTGGAACAAAAAGCTGAATTCTGAGTGTTCATTTTATTCACCAGAATTACACAATGTAGGGTGAAGTCAGACTTCTATTAGTACACAGGGAAATCTGCGTGCAAAAAAATGAATACACTGCTAAGGTTATGGGACAAGTCCCTAACTGTTTTAAGAAGAAACCATGGGACAACACAAGAGAATCACAGACAAACAGCCAG